ACATAGTCCCTCCAGAATGTCCAGGATCTTCCTCTGGGCCTCCTCCCAGTGGGACATGCCTGGAACACCTCACCAGGGAGGAGTCCAGGAGGCATCTTAACCAGATGCCCGAGCCACCTCAACTGACTCGCATCGACGTGGAGGAGCAGCGGCTCTACTCTGAGTCCCTCCCGGATGACTGAGCTTCTCTTACATGTTAATAGTGAGAATTTAAACATGAAGAAAAAAAAGGCATCTTCACTTTGTCAGTGTTGTACAACATACAAGCTAATTGCCAGCAAAGCTTGTCATGTTGCACAGAATAAACGTAGTTCAAACTGCATAAGACGTCAGTCTGTATAAAAAGCTCTAATCAACAGCGTTCTATATGAAAATATTCATTTTACTTTAGGAAAATGCAAAATTTGTGATTTCCTTATTTAACGACTACATCATCTAAAATACTGTAGCTCTTTTTTTCTAGCTTAGGTGAAACGGAAGTATTTTGCCTATTTGTTTATGGTCATAATTAAGGCATAAAATAGAAGGAAAAAAAAAGAGTTTGACCTCTTCAGATTTCCTGTGAAGAGCTGGCAGCGTTACATAACAGCGCTCTGCTCATCTGAATGGCTCACTGATCTTTTATTCTTGCAGCCGGACTTAACAAAGAAGCCAAACTAGGATTTGTTGTTCAAAAAAAAAAAAAAAAAAAAAAAAAAGAAAAGAAAAGAAAAATGAAAAACAAAACAAAACAAAACCAGGCTTTTGTCATAATGTGAACACTGTATTAAAATGAAGCAAACAAATCCAAACAATTCCAGTTTGATGGCACTAAGAACCCACTGCAAATTAATGCATTTTTTTCTTTAAAGGCTTTTCTAATATATTTATAAAACTGAAATCAATGGATGGGAAAATAACTGCGTTTTGACATGACATTTGTTTTAAACAGATGCTGCATAAATAAACAGAATTCACATAAAACTGAACTGAAATATAACAATAAAAAACAAGATCACACACAAAAAAAAACTATTAAACGTTGAAATCTTTTACATCCCAGATACGGCCTCACTTAGTGAGGYGGTGCACGACTGTCTATATCCTTAGGGCAGAGACTGGACCTGGGATGGTACCACGTCTGTGTGAGCCGGTGGAAGTGTTGCTGAATAATCAGGGAGGTTATATTCTGTGTAAGCAGGCGGGAGCTCGTCTGGCTTGAATCCCAGCTGAAATACACAGGAAGCATACGCAGAAAAACAGAGAATTAGATGTTTAACTTGGCTGCAAACATAACCAAGCATAATCCCATTTCTAAAAAAGTAGATTTTGGGGTAAAGTGTATGAATATTAACAGATTGTTGTGATCTTCAATCTTCAACAAAACACATAAAGTGTATGTTTTACTAATGAAACATAATAAACACTAACATTAATTTTGTAAAAAAAAATAAAAGGCAATTTTCAATAAAATGGAAATTAAATTGGGGGGGGGGGGTCAGTGGTGGGTCCGATGGATAGCCCTTTATCTGACCTTGACAACAAAAAAGATTTGAAGCTCCTATGTTGAATAGGTTTTGAGTTATAAGCAGTTTTGCATGTCCACACATCCCCTTTTTAGATGGAGCCCCCTCTTCAAATATGGGGTCTATCGTAAAACCGTTGGCTGGCGCAGTGTAGGTTACACATCTACATTCCTGACAAATTTCACGTTGATCGGTGCAGCTGTTTCTGTGCTATGGTTGACCAAAAATCTAGAAAAAGTAAAAAAATTAATTAATTAATAAAAAAAAAACAGTGTGAAAACAATTTGACCCCTGCTTTATGTGCAACAGTGATAATATTTAGTACAGAGCCCTGTCACTCCGAAACATCCCCTCCTTTCCCCCCCAAAATCCACAATTGCCTAGTTCAGGGCTATTCAACTAGCGGCCTGTGGGCCAAATTCAGACTGCGGGTGACTTTTGTCCGGCCCACCAATGAGATGAGAGGTCTGGACTGCTCAGTTCAGCTCTCCCAATTCAAATACGTAAAGACTTCCCTGAGAAAAAAAAATGTTTATTTTTTTTTATTTTTATTCTTTTTACACCAACTGTTTTAGAATTAGGGTCGTATTTGCGATGCAGCGTCTTCAGTGCCACTCCTGGAATACAAAATGAAAGCGTTTCAGAAAACCATCTGACCCACCTCATTATAGGAAGGCGGGGACTCCAAGTAGCCAGAAGTACTGTAGCGTGGCGGTGTTGGGGGGTCTTCACTGTCCTGCTGTGAAAGGCTCCTGGGGAAGGGGATGAAATAAATGGACCTGAGGTGACGCTCCTGTTCCCGGCGCTGCTGTGCCTGCCTCTGGATCTGCTCCTCTTGTCTTCGACCGCACGCTCTGAGCAAGCTGGTGCAGAACACGATGGCCAGACCGAAGCCCAGGAAGCCCAGGAAGACCCTTGGAGACAGAGCAGCTCGCCGTGAACAACTCAACCCCCGTCGTATGTTTACATTTCAACTGTTTCATTGTGAGATCGATTGAATGGAAACAATACGAGATTCAAATTCTCTAACAAAGCATTACGAATCAGGAAAACATGAATCAAATTTTCTGATAAGGCAGGAAAAGGTGCAGTTTATAGTCGAACTTCTTACACCAGAAAATAATAATTCTGATCTGTTTTGCTTGTACAGGAAAACCAACATAAAACAATAATAATTAACATATATAAAAATGAATGTGTCTTACTCTAGAAAAGGGAAGGAGGTAGTTAACATCATTTGATGGATGGACGGAGCACCTGATGAATCGAAATTCAGCCACAAACAACAGAAAGAATCTAAAAAAGAACGAGTTAAAACACTGAATATTAATTTCATCAGTTAAATACTTTCAGTATTTCTTAACCCATTTCTCCAACACTTCAAAAGAAAATTAATTAATTAAAAAAATTGTATCTACTGATAAAGGTTTTGTCCTGGACAGCCTAATGTAACCTTTACTGCCCGTCAATATTACATAAAGACATAGGTTCATCTTACAAGAAGCACCTTGTCCAAAGGTAACCTCATACAGTAGTTCAGTCTGTTCTGGTTGCTGAAATTACGCAAAAGTGGTCCACTGAGATAAGATACTGAGATAAAACTCGACAAGGAGGTCAGGGAGGTACTCTAAGAAGAAGAAAAAAAGTTCATTTAAAACCGTCTCAAGAGACGTTAAAACTATAAATGATGCCACGTGTGATTTTACGCGAAGTATAAATAATAACAGCAGATCATGAGACCTGAACTGATAACACGCATTGACCTTCCACTGAGATACAGTATTATTTTCCATAATCTTACAAGAATTTATATTTGATGTAAATTCTGTTTAAGTGATGCTCTGGTACAAAGAGACCACAAAACCCCTCCCATCAGAGCCTGAGCTTTACTTTATATTTATTCTTATTTTTTAGGAAACAAATGGAGGTGTAACACTTCATGTATATAATTTACAATCTACGCAGGATGCAATGTTACCAAAGTGAAAGTAAGGGAGAGATGTGAGCAGACAGGACGAAACAACCTTATCTGGTTGAGGAAAAAAGTGAAATCGAGGACAGGCCGAGAGCAATTAAACCCTAACGGTTTTTCGAGTTTCACCGTTTACAACTCAAAAGTGTCCAATGAAAACCTCACAGCCTCCAGTTTCTGTGGTCTGTGAATCTTTTACCTCAAACGGTGAAAATAAATAAATAAAACGGTGTTGTATAAACTTGGAAATACTCAGGTGATCAAGTTGTTTTTAGTTCATAAACAAATTATGGTTTTGAGGCAACTTTCTAGCTTCAGGAAAACAAAGTCAAGATGGCGGCACATTTAATAACTTTGTAAGCTTGTCAATAAAGTCTCTGTAAGGCTTTGATCAAAGTTAAATCATTACTTAACATTCACTAAAGATGGCAGAGGAGGTTTGTACTGTACAGGAGTTTAAAATGTCCTCATTGAGCATAACCAGTTCTTTAAGGTGTCCTAACTTAGTTTAGATTTTYATTTATTTTTTACTATTTAACCAAAATAGAAAGACACAACACAGAAAATTACAACAAGCAGCAGCTGAGGTCAAAACTCCCAGCACATGATCAGAGAGCTGATAGGAACAGGTCTGTAAATACTGACAGAACAAATAAACTCCCTGTATTTTGTCCCAGTTCACATTTCTGTCGTTCGGCCTTCGGAGACACACGGAAACGTTTCGTTAACAGACAGACAGACAGACGCGGTGAATTCAGTCTCTTACCTTCAGACGAGTAATGTCACTGCTCAGGTGTGGAGCTGAAAGGGCAAAATCACTGGAGCAGAGTGCAGGTTTTTATTGTAGGTGTGCTGAGGGGAGGGGGAGTGGTGTGTGTGTGTGTGTGTGTGTGTGTGTGTGTGTTCATGCATGGGAGTGAGGGCAAAGCTCTGAATCTTAATCCGCCACTAACACAATAAGAAGTAAAATTTTCAGGGTATATTTGGGATTGTTTCACACTTTATTGCTAAATATATAACCGTATGATCATGCACACAGTATGAGTTTATATTTAGTTAGATGGAGAGCGAGTTTTATTAGTTTGTGATCAAGCTAAGAAGAAAAATTTATGGCAGCGTTATAAGATTTAAAGAAACAGACACTTGTTTCCTGACTGGAAGTTTGCCTACTTAAAAAAAAAAAAGTTGATCAGCTCTAATTCAGTGCAAGAGGAATAAAATAAACACCTTATTTATTTTTAAATGTTGGGAATAATGCAAAAAATTTTTTTTTCAAAATGCCCCCCTCAACATCTCTACTAGAAGTCAGAATTGAAATTCCCGCTCTGCTGCTAAGTATAAAAGCCACACGTCCAACACAACATGAGGGATAATCTGAGCTAACAGAGCAGCTCACCTACAAATGAGCAACACGGGGTGTGCAAACGTGCACGTCAGAGCTCTAATAATTATAAAATGATCCAGGAAATCCAGTCTCTCCCAAAGGAAAAATCAGCTGTTCTGCTGAYTGGAAGAATAAGGATACAAAGGTTACATTGGTATCCTGTACCTGACACAAAGAGAGTGTGTAATGATTAAATATTAGCACAGGAACACAGAGAAGCAAGAGAAATGTTAAATAAAACAACTTTATTTGTCTTGTATTCTTAGTAGAAACTCATTTTCCTGATCATTTAACCAAACTGAATCAGCAGCTTCATACTGCAGAGGGTTTTTTGTGTGTGTGATATTCTCCTGGTTCCAAATCCCTAATGCAAAAGTGTTGCAGTATAAAAATCTACAATAAGAGAATTTGCCAGAGCTGCCATAAATAAGAGGATTGAATTATTTTATTTGTCAATCTTAGTCTGAACAATAACTTAGTTTGGTTTACCTGTTACTAATCCTATATCATCTCCTAAAGCAACACCATGCAGCACCTGCTTTATGTACTCTATTGCTGACACTGCAAAACAACTAAATTCCCAAGACCAATGTGTTTTTTTTTTTTTTTTGCTACCTGCATTGCTTATCCAGTAATTTTCTTGGATTAATGTTGTTTCTGATTTTCCCACGTTTATCTTTTTTTTTTTTCTCAGAAGCCCAAAAGCTCATTCTAGGTTTTTGCTATACATCAAAAAAAAAATAATGCTGCATCTTGTTTTCACTGTTGGTAAAAAAAAAAAAAAAAAATTCCAGTAGTAAAATATTCTGAAACAGAGTGCACATCGCTGTTAGATTTATAACACTACAGTATTTATAGTCTGTTGTTACTTCCCTCTGTAAAAATGCAGAAAATCCAAATGACAAAACTCCCATACCTATCCACTTCATAACAAACAACACGCATTTCCTCAAACACACCATCACCCAAAAACAATAATATCCAGGTAATCCAGGAAATATCCAGGTGGATCAAAAAGAAAAAAAAATAAGTAGGTCCTCTGGATGGGTTCTTTAGTGAAACGTTTCGTCTCTCCTCCAAGAGACTTCTTCAGTCTGATGAGTTTCAGGTGAACTCAGCCTTATAAGCACTGCCTCCACATGGTGGACAAACAGGTTAGTCATATGCAAAAGAGGACCATCGCCTAACAATAGGCTTGATTAGCTCTATTGTTCATAGAGGGTCATGTGCCCCTTCACCTGACTTATTGGTTTGGATGCTTCGGCTGTGGTTCTTTGGTGTCGTGCTATGTGTATGTAGTGAGTGCAAGCGGGGTTCAACGTCCCCTTGTTTTTGTCTCTCTTTCCCTCTTTGTGTTGGTATCATTGGGGCCCTGATTCACATCTTTTGCTCACAGGGGGCGGAGTCATACTTGCAATGACAGCATTGTAGGAGGAGGACAACTGGACACGAAGGCCTCCACCTCTGTTTAATGGTGGATGGTTTTTCTTCACAAAGATGGCTTCCTTTAATCCTCTCTCAAATCATCAWTCTTCTCTATCAAGGATGAGAACACCTTCATCCCTGAAAGAGTGACCGCTGGCCTGTAGATGAGTGTAAACTGCAGAGCCCTGACCTGATGATGTAGATCGTCTGTGCTGGCTCATTCCTTTGAACAGTGGCTGTTTTGTTTCCCCAATGTATAACTGATCACAGTCCTCCTGACACTTAACAGCATATACTGTATTATTCTGTTTTTGCCGGGGAACTGCATCTTTGGGGTGAACTAATCTTTGTCGTAACGTGTTTTGGGGTTTGAAAKCCACTGGGACGTTATGTTTAGAGAATAAACGTCTCAGTTTCTCTGAAACTCCCACCACATACGGAATGACGACTGGTTTGGGTCTGGGTTTAGGGTCTTCATTTTTCATTTTCACCACAAGTATCCAGGTGGAAACAACATACCAAGAAAACATTTTGGGAGGAACAAATTTAAACAGCGCACCCTCTAAAGTTCCATTTTCAATAACTTTTATCATCTTTTTTTTCTTCATAGTTTTTGATTTGTTTAGAGAAGTGTGAAAAAAGATTTACAGTTTTAAACATAGCAGACCAAAAAAAAAAAAAAAACAACCTACATTTAAAATAAGCCATAATTTCACAGCTCTGATTGTTGTTGACAAACATAAACTTATTTAATCTGACTTCTGCTTCTATTCAGTTCTAAGCTGGGGAGAATTCCAGTGTTTGGCTCAGTTCTGTCAGTTCTGAAGCTCTGGCTCTCAGGAACCAGAATACAGAAGAACTTATGTCAGAGGGGCTGACGGGGTGGGGGTGGGGAGAATAAACTGAAACCAAACAAACCAAGTCGTTTTAAGTGATGCGCTCAGATCCAGCACCTGACTGAAGTGGGKCGAGAGTTTCCTTCTGGAGGGGCTATAAGTCCTCGTGAGTCGTTCTGTGTCTGCGTTTGTTCAGCCAAGCCTCCARCAGAGGAAGGTGGCTGTCCATCCAGCGGATGTTATCCTCGATGGTTTCGTAGGTCTGCTGGATGCACCTCATCTTTGAGCCGGTCTCTTCAGTCAGAGCATCGAAGAAGCTCCGAATCTGAGCGAAGGAAAGGGTTAGGGTTAAAACCACAGGAAATGCAGAAGCAACATTTATTCTCTAATGAACGAAAGATAAAAATTTGCAGAATCGGAACATAAAGTACAGTACAAATTTAATTAAATAAAAAAACGGTGAACTTCCCTGCTAAAGTTTCCAAAAGCCAGAGAGTTTGCTGTACGATAGCTCAGTGGTTCTTGTAAAGATCTCTAAATGTTCCTGTTTTCATTAGGTTACTTATAAATATATTCTTAGAAAGTAGCAGAAGCTCTAAAAAGGGATCACTCGCCTCATTCAGCATCTCTCTGGTGGAGTACTGGTTGGTCACACCAGTCACCATGTAGGACACAATGTTGGAGCCGAGGTCAAACCTGTTGCATCAACATAACAGTGTGTTGGTTTACATTCCTACTTTAAACAACCTGTATGGAAAACAGTCCGTCAGCAAACATACAGATACATACAGACAGGAACTAACTGGATCTCAAGGTGTAAAACTGTGTAACGAGCCACATTTTAGTGTAAACATCAAGCTTTAAATACAAATCAGTCTGTAAAATTCACATTCTGACACATTTGTACACGTTTTTAAATCTCTTCGTGTCACATATATTACAGTAAAATCACATCTCAGGGGTAAATATCGTTCTGGAACAAAGTCTGATCAGATAAGCGTTATGTTGTGTGAAAGTTGACTGACTTCTTGATCATGGTGACCCAGTTGGCTCGGAGGAAGTCCCAGGCCAGTTTGTAGCCACGAGGGTTCTTGGCTACAGACACGACCACGTCAGGGAGGTCCTGAGTCTTCATCACTTCACCGTTAAGACTCTGCTCCATTATCCTGAAAACAGAAAGCCATAAAAAAAAGGCTGAGCAAGTGACATTTTCTCCTTTTTAACTAGGATTAGCTGGTGCTCACCACATCAGCTTGTCCTGCAGCGGGGTGACGGTCATGGCTRTCTTCATGCGGCTCTTGACGGACATCTGCATTGAGCTGCGGTACTTCTCAAACAGGAAGTCCCATCCTTCTGGTGTGYGGGCTCCGATCACAAACACAGCCATTGTGATATCCACAGGGAGGCTGAAAAAAACCCCATCTCAGTTTCAGAGAACCAGGATTCCCACACCTTGGTCAACATCAAATTCAAGGACCTTTCAAGGACTTTCCAGTACCAATTTCCTCAAATTTAAAAACCACACAAAATGGCAATTACCTGCTGCTACTGCAGAATGTTACCAATAAACAGGTTTAATATGTAAATTCAATGAAAAACTGAACAACATAGAAGTTGCTGAGTCAGAATCAATAAAAGAAAGAGGATTAAATGTTTACCCTACATTCATATCTACAATACACGGACATGTAATTATGTCCTGGGAGKTTSRGCAGCTCAGTTTGGGAGGAGGGGATGTGAACATGTCCAGACACTCAGTGAGGACAGAAGCTGTGGTGCTCTCACCTGGGCTCAGAAAGAACGACCCGCCCTACTCTGTATGGAAATCCAGCGGTGACAAATACACGTGACATTACGTGCAGTGCACAAACAACACATTGACACGTTGATAACACGTAGTTGATGCGTCAAATACGTGTGAAATTTTGACGCGTCAAACTAACGCGTAATGTCACGCGTATTTGTCACCGCTGGCTTTCCATACATAACTCTGCTCAGATTGGGTAAAACTATGACTATGGCTCACGTTATTTGTTGAAAACCACGTCAGTTTACTGTAATCCTGAGATATCCACCGCATCAAATGTAGGTTTTTAAAATTTTATTTTATGTTTTATTTTTACATATGACGGAAATCAGTCATGTGAATAGAGAACTTCAATCTCCAAAAAACATTCAAGGACTTTCAAGGACAAGTGTAATTTTTGGCTGTTTTCACAAACTCTCCAGGGCACTGAAATCATTTTTTTTTTCAAATTCACAAATTTTCAAGGATTTCAAGGACCCGTGGGAACCCTGGAGAACATAAGCTAAAAAAAAAGCTAAATCTTTGCCTATAAATGCTAAAAGTAAGAGCGGTTAAGACTGTGACCTCTGACCTCATGGTGCCGTCAGAATCTTTCCACTGGTTAAACAGCTGAGTGGCTTTCTTCAAACAGGGAGGGTAGTTTCTGATGCAGGCGAACAGCAGCAGGTAACTCCTCAACACCCGCTGAGACACGGAACCAGAGTCGCTCCACTCCTGCTGATCGATCAGATCCCGGAACAGATCCACGATGTAACCCTGAAAACACAAGCAGCCAGGGAAGTTTGGAATTTAGGACTCCGATGCATTCATTTTGTCATGAACGTCGTCTTTACTTTCATTCGGTTCTCCAGCTCAGGCATGTCTCTCTTCTCCATCAGCTTGTAAAGAGGAACGAGTTCTCCGAAGCCCTGAGTCACAGCCATGATCTCAGTCTCTCTGGACAGGTAGAGGGACAGCTCCAGGGCCGTATCCAACCTCACCTTCCCAACACTGCAGCACAGAGAACACACATCAGATCACAGTCACCCAGGACTAGAACCAGTCCTGAGGTCAAAAACCATAACCAGATTTAAAACTAAGGCTGGCAACAATCTAAAGTTGTTTAATTTCTAGAGAAACTGCATTTTTGCAGAAAATGCATCATGAATAGAATAGAATAGAATAGATGCTGAGGGGAAATTCAGGTGTCACAGTAGCATCAGTACAGAGTTTCACACACTAGTTTACAAACTATAGAAAATGCACGAAAAACAAAATTACCACTAACTAGCAATGATACGACTACTGATAATAAAATATAATATAAAAGATTGTATTTTATTATTATTAGTAGTAGTATCATTGCTAGTTAGTAGAATGTTGAAGAATRAAGGCTACGTTCAAACTGCAGGCAAACATGAATGATATCGCATTTTTTCCTGGCAGTCTGAACATGACAAATCTGAATTTATTTTTCAAATCCAACCCAGACCTTTTCAGTAGTACGAAATTGGATACATATCTGATGTTTGTCAAAATAACAGTGTGAACACTTGTGTAGCACTTCATCTGACTTTGAGGAAAGGATCGATTCAAGTGTGAAATTATTGGTACCAACCTGGTGCAGTTTAAATCTGGTAACTCCATGTTTTCGGCTACAGAACAGTACAGTTACTTCATCTGTTTTTCTTTTAATTTTCCATTTCCTGRATGACCGATAATCCACAAAAATGTATGATTGTAATGTCGGTCTCGGATGGATACTAAAGTTTGCTGGATCGATACTTTACTTCCAGCTCGTCGTTCCCAATCCAAAAATAAAAAGCTGCACTGGAGCAGTCGGCCGGTGGCAGGATCAAATGTAAACACAGAACTAAAYGAGCACATCAGCTAATTATTTTATTGGCCTGATTGTACAACAACTTCAGAATCCACATGCTAACATGTAATACCCATATTTACTTCCTTAAACTCTGCGTGCTAAATGTGATGTCACAGAAAAGGTTAAAACTGAATTGTTCAAGAACACTTGATTAAAAACCAACTGAAGCAGAACACTTCTGTACAAAAGCTAAAGGAGCAAAACAGCAGCTAAAAGCAAAAAGTAGCAAAATGCTAGATAAAAATCAGCAAAAGGTTAGCTTTTAAATTAGGTTATGTTTTGAAAATAAGCACAAACTATAGCAAAGCAGTTGAACTGCAAAAATAAAACGTATAAAAAGAAAAACCAGCAGAGTGAATGCTGAATCAGCACAAACACAACAACATCAGAGCTAAACTCTTCTAGTGAGGAACTGACCCGACCAGCTGGAAGACGTTCTGGATGAGGCTGGCTCTGTCATTACCAGACAGAGCCGTGTGGTTGTGATGCAGCAGTTTAATGATAGAATCCCAGCCCTGGCCTGCATAGTGCACCATGTAGTAACCACTCATGTTTACATTAAACTTCAGCCAGTCCACCTCCTCTGGCAGGTACAGGACATCTGATTGGCAGGGAATACAAACAAGCTTTAATGTGAGAAGAATGGGCAGAATGTGTTTGATGTCTGTGAATACAGAAGAAATTAATGAGCCTGAGAGAAATTCTCACCAGTTTTTGTTTTGAGGAGGAAACGGTGGACGGTGTTGGATGCACTGGTCTGGTATGTCAGTGGGATCTGCCACAGGAATCTAGAAACACATAAATCAACAAGTGATGAAACGCTGTGAAAGACAAGAATTCTGGTCTGAGCTAATAAAGAATGTGGAGGATCTGAAAAAAATGGTTTTTGTGAAGTTCTGTTAAAAAAAATTATTTTAGAGGAAACAGTTTCAAAAGTTCACAAAATAAGTAAAGTACGGAGTCTATAAGGGTACATGGGAAAAAACTAAATAAAATGATCCTGCAAAAGCTTTTCATAATCCTGCAAAGGTTTCTCAGGAGCCTGCAAAGGTTTCTCATGATCCTGCAAAGGTTTCTCGTGATCCAGCAAAGGTTTCTCATGATCCTGCAAAGGTTTCTCATGATCTTGCAAAAGTTTCTCAGGATCTTGCAAAAGTTTCTCATGATCCTGCAAAGGTGTCTCATGATCCTGCAAAGGTGTCTCATGATCCTGCAAAGGTGTCTCAGATCCTGCAAAGGTTTCTCATGATCCTGCAAAGGTTACTCAGATCCTGCAAAGGTTTCTCATGATCCTGCAAAGGTTTCTCGTGATCCAGCAAAGGTTTCTCATGATCCTGCAAAGGTTTCTCAGATCCTGCAAAGGTTTCTCATGATCCTGCAAAGGTTTCTCAGATCCTGCAAAGGTTTCTCATGATCCTGCAAAGGTTTCTCAGGGTCTTGCAAAGGTTTCTCAGATCCTGCAAATGTTTTTCATGATCCTGCAAAGGTTTCTCAGGATCCTGCAAAAGTTTCTCAGGATCCTGCAAAAGTTTCACAGGATCCTGCAAACCTTTCACAGGATCCTCCTGCATAGATTTCTCAAGGGAATTCTGCAAAAGTGTCTCAGGATCCTGAGAACTTTTGCAGAATCTTGTTATATATGTCAGGGTGTTGTTATTGTTGTTTTMTTTTCTTTCCCATATGTCCCTTTCCAGGCTCCGTAATAAAGAAAGGTGAGCTTCTTCTGCCCAAATGATTTCTGCTTTACTTCTCACCCTTCAGTAAGGGAGGGGTCKTCGGCCCTCAGGAAACGCTCCTGACTGAGCCTGACCTCCCGACCTCTGACCTCCACAGTGACCAGCGGGAAGCCCTCCTGCAGCGTCCAGGTGTCCATGATGGTCTTGACGTCCAGCTCATCACCAGAGTACCACTTCTGAACCAAATCACACATTCAGATATACAAATGGGTTTTAGTCAGGACCTGTTTTTTGTTTTGTTTGTGACATTTGTACAACGTGACATGCAAATAACACAAAAAAATCTTCAATCAAATTTTTTAACTACGAGTCTTGTAATTTAATCAAAATACCAAAATCATTTCTACTAAAAGAAATGTTATTCTTATATTTTAATGTGATTAATTGGACGTTTTGATTTCTTTTTGGTCAAATTGTTTTTTCCCCAAACATGCAGGAAAACTCACAGTGGTTCCAGACTGAAGTTTACGTTTGGAGCAAAATTCCACGTGTTTCATTCGACCTTCATCCAAATCATCAGAGCTGCAGATCTGTAGGCATCAAATGCAAAATAATAATAAAACATATAATAACTAAAGAYAAACCTAAACTACAATATGTCCTCAGTAACACAGCAGGATGTCATAAAAACTACATCACTCATCCTGCACGACCACATGAGCAGGATWACACTGTCTTTCAGAAATCAACCCTGCTCTTCATCATAAAACAGATTTTGTAAATTTGACCGGTTTAGGAAGATCATGTCCACGTGCAGAGTAAGAAACTGGGAGACACTCATCACTCACATCAGTCAGGCTCTCCCACAGGTGGCTGTTCACTGTGTTCTGGTAGCTGTAGCGCTTCAGGTATCGGATGATGCCGATCTCAAAGGCCTCAGGAGTGAGGAAGTCCCGAAGCATGTTCAGGATGCACGCTCCCTTAAAAAATAAATAAACAAACAAACAAATAAATAAATAAATAAATAAATAAATAAATAAATCCACATATTCATTCAAATTAAACCATCAATCATCCAAATCTTCTACGAAGTGATGCTGACCTTGTCGTATGACACGTCGTCGAACATCTCCTGGATCTGTGTGGGGTTTTCCACCGGGGTGGAGACCGGGTGGGATGAGCTGAGAGAATCGACCTCCATAGCCTCGAAACATTTGCCCAAGAAGAAGTCATCCTGAGAGAGACAGTTGTTTTTAGGTGCCTCTAGTCTGAAAACAACATGCTTTCTGTATTGTATTTCATCCCCTATGATTAAAACACATTTCCTCCATTTTCTGCAAGYAATATGAAAGTTCTGAATTAATTTGGAAAGGAAAGTAACCCGCTCTCACCACATGCAGCTCAGGGTACGTCAGGTCAAGGGAAATAAACTCCATAAACTTGGCAAAACCCTCGTTGAGCCACAAGTCGTTCCACCACTCCATCGTCACCAGGTTTCCAAACCACTGAAAACACACGAAAACGGTATGTGAACAAAAATATGCATCCTCGCTTTTAGGGATTCAATTTGTACCAGTGCCGGATCTAGGATTTTTCTGAGTAAGGGGCCATCAAGGGGCCACAATATTCATAGAGGGGCTAAAGTCTTTGTTCAACATCCTTTTACACAAATCCCCAGTTTTGATAAAGTGTATACATTTAACCAGTCATACATGTTCAAACACTTGTWATGTAATGTATATATTTTTAAAAAAGGCTACCACTTTACAATAAGGCTCCCATTATAGATGGCTTTTAAAGGGTTCATAGATAGGTTATTAATTMATCTGTAAACACTTTATAAATTATTAATAAGTGTTTATTATGCATTAATTCAGGTTCAAAAACTAAACTGTCTGGTTTCTTTCCAAATACTGAGCCAAATCTGTTCGGGTATTAAACATTTCAGATTAGTTTACAATGTAAGCACAGGAAACACATACTTTAACATATAATATTGTACTGTATTACTGCATTATAAATATCCACAAATATTAAAGGAATCCTTATTGTAAAGTGTAAAACTGTACATTATTTTGGATGGGGTGGGATTATTTGGTACAATAACATGACATTGATTTTTTTTTACTTTTCTGATACATCAACATTGTTGACAGTTACATGTTTGAACAATAATTTCAAATATTGATAATCAACACAAAGCTTTAAAAATGGTGATTTTTCACATTAAATACTAAGTTTTGGCATTTATAAATGTTTATGTGTCATTAATAAATAGTGTACTGTATTACACTTTACAATAAGTCTCCCTTTGACAGTGGTGATTATTTATAATGCAGTAATATAGTACAATATTAATAAATTAAAATATGTGTTTCTTATTGTTATTGTACTTACAATGTAGTAACCTCTGAAATGTTTAATATACCTTTAGATGTAACATGTACGTGAACAGATTTGTCTCATTTGGTAAGAAACTGAACAGTTTTGTCTCTTTCTCGTCTTAATTATTGCATAATAAACATTTATTAATGATTTATAAAGTGTAAACTTTACAGATTAATTAATAACCTATCTATAAACTCTTTATAAGTCATCTATAAGGGAAGCCTTATTGTAAAGTTGTACCCAAAATGGCTTGCACAGTAAATTCTCCTCACCAGTTTTTCATACATTTTACTTTACACAGATAAAATATTCTCAAACACAAAACATGTGAGAAAATCCATCCATCATTTGTCAGTGGAAAGACTTTTTTTGCAGGATTGTTTGAATTTTCTAAAGAAAATAAGAATTCTGTAAGTTTGATTCATTCTGGACTTTACTATTTGACTCATCAGTGCAACTAGTGTTTGAACATGGAACTGCATCCACCATCATTCCCAGGTAAAGGACAGAWGAGTGACAGGACAGGGGCACTTCAGGGGGCCAATCAGATTTCAGCTGGGGCCAATGCCCCTGTGACCCCCGCCCCTAGAACCGCCCCTGATTTGTACACAATATATTTTCAGCCACCTGGTGAGCGAGCTCGTGAGCGATGACCTTAGTGATGGCCAGTTTGTCGGAGGCAGAGGACTTGTCGGGGTCAAAGAGGAGGGCGGTCTCTCTGTAGGTGGTCAGACCCCAGTTCTCCATCGCACCAGACTGGAAGTCGGGGATGGCTGCCAGGTCTGCAACACAAAGGGGAGAACATGAAGCAGCTGGTCCTCTGAAACAAATTCCTTCATTTAGTTACTAATTAATCAGAAAAAAATGTATATAAATCGACAAAAATGTTGTATTGTAGCTGCGGCTGCTTTAGTTCTCAAAAGCGCCATATAATAAAATGCATCTCTGCCAACCCTGTTTGGGAAGCGGGTAAGGGATATCAAAATAATCATCATAGAAGTCCAACAACTTGACTGCAGCATCCAAAGCAAAGGCCGTCTGGTTGATCTTCTCAGGCACTGAATAAATGGAGATCTGATGGGAGCCAAAAGTAGAAACATGAAAACTTCTATCAGATTTACAGAACAGTACAAACCTGCCTCATCCAGATTAACTACTTGCACCTCACCTCAACTCCGTGCTGCGTGGTCCTGCTCACAGACAGGAAGTCTGACACGATGTAGGCCACCAGGTAAGTGCTCATTTTTACGGTCGTGTCAAAGTGATCCTCGAGTAAACCGTCGGGCAGATCCACTGTTTTAACCTAGAAAACACAGGAAGTTACCTCACACAGCCCTTTCTTTTAAAGGGGCAATATTATGTGTTTCTCAGTCATATATCACCTTTAGCTGTTATTAAAATGCTGTTTTTATG